TGAAAGGGATCACAGTAGAAGACTCTGGACAGAGTGGGAGAAAATTTGGCACAAAACTCATAATTAAAAAAAAAAAAAAGGCCAGACTTATTGATTGAATAGAGACTGGTGGAACCCCTGAGCCAATAGCATTTAGTCACCCTTCAAGCCTGGAACTAAACTCATTTCTGTGGCTCAGTTTTCAGTCAAACAACAGAGAGGATGATGGGGCAAAGAATAATACCAAGGAGGCCCTCACTCCTTAGAGCAGTCACCCTAAGGGAATCACAAGAGAAGGCTTTGTCCAGAGACAACATTCAGGAGGCAGGAAAGGATAGAAAAGAAGGATGACTGCAAATGGGAAACCCAGGCAGGAAGTGGGAAGAGTGCCTTTACATTGTGGGAACTGCAATCAATGTCATGAAACAAAATGTGTAGGAATTGTTGACTGAGAAACCAATTTGCTCTGTAAGCATTTGCTCAAATCACACAAAAAGTTGCTTATTATTTTTTGTACTTTTTGTTTCTCTTCCCTCACTAGAATGCCAGTTGTATCAGGGCTGGGATTTGGGTCTGGTTCAGTCACTCTTGTGTCCCCAGCTCAGCATTTAGAAGGCCCTTGGAACCATTGGTGGGAGGAATGAATAATTATTATAAAGCCCCAAACTGGACTCTAATTCTAGAGGAACGTGGATTCTAGGCTGATGACTGAGGTAGGAACCCAGGCTCAGAAAGCATACCAGGAATCCAGTTACCAAAACTGGAGCCCAAGGCCAGGGTAGGATCTTGGAACTAGAAAGATGCATGGGCATCAAAAGTGGAACATGAGGTCAGAGATTGGCCTGGAGTCTGGCCAATGGACATGAGACATATAGCTCAGGGTCGGGCCAGCCCATAATAGGGGACAGAGTCTAAAGGTGCCAAGCAGAGCCTTCAACCTCTTAGTAAATGCCAGGCAAAGTTATCTGCGCTTTCAACTTATTCCCAGTCACAGATGTCAGTGGCTACTCCTCATTGGCATCACTTACCAGGAAAGCACAAATGACTAAGGGGAAAAAGAAGAAAAAAGTGAAAATTCTCACTCAAGAAAGCTGAGCCAAGAAGTTAAGGAATGGCAGGTGCCAGGAGCCTGTGACTAGGGAACAGCAATGATGGCAGTAGGAAGACAGCAGCAGAGCATTCGGGGAGTCCATTGTCCTTTGGACGGGGTGGTTTTGGCCAAGATGAACAGGTGAGCTCTATTCATAAAGCCCTCTGACTTGGGGATGAGGGAACACAACATGGAGTCTGGGAAGTGATATCTGCAGAAGCCTAGAAACAAGAGCTGGGAGAATTTGGCCTGATTTTCCTGGCAGTGTCCAAGGTACTCTCTAAGAGTTCTGTTCAGCCTCTCCTCTCCGCTTTCATGCTTCCTGACACCCCAGCCTGTGATTCAGGGCTGCCCGTGCCCCACCTCAGGTTGGCTGTGGATTCTCTCCAAGGATGAGCCACATATCAGAAAGGTTATGGCAGAGATTATGTGTTAGGGGAAGGAAACGGTCTGCTCAGGTCCATTAGGAAGGGTGCTGGAATTAAGCATTCAAACCTAGGCTTCACCCTGTTTTGACCACTTAACATGTGTTCCTGAGTAGTCACGTTGCTTCCCTGAGTTTCAATATTTGCATTGACAAAGTGGGAATGGTACTGCATTCTGCATAGGAATGATGTCAAGATTAAATGGAGTTAGTTAGGTGAGCAACTATTACAGTGTCAATGGGCCCTAAAAAAAATAAGGTTAGCTGTTGTGATTATTGTTTTAAATTAGTAATTATATCACTAAAATGTTTGACAGTAACGATTCCACAGAAGGAGCTCAAAATAGGTCTACAGATTGTTGTTGTTAAGTGCCACCAAGTCAGTTCCAACTCGACACCCTTGTATATAACAGAACAAAACACTGCCTGACCCTGCACCATCCTTACAATTGTTGCCATGTTTGAGCTCATTGTTAGAGCCAATGGGTTAGTCCATCTTGTTAAAGGTCCTCCTCTTTTTTGCTGACCCTCTACCTTACCAAGCACGATGTCCTTCTCCAGGGATTGGTCTTGCCCTCCTTGCTTCTAAGGATCATTCTCGCTGTACTTCTTCCAAAACAGATTTGGTCATTCCTTTTGATAGTCCATGATATATCCAATATTCTTTGCCAACCAACACCATAATTCAAAGAAATCAATTCTTCTTCAATCTTCCGTATTCACTGTCCAGTTTTCACATGCATATGAGTAGATTGGTCAGATGCAGCTGAGTCCTCAGAGTGACCTTTGCTCTTTAACACTTCATAAAGGTCTTTTGCAACTGATTTCCCCCATGGAATACATAATTTGATTTCTTAACTGCTACTTCCATGGGTATAGATTGTGGATTCAAGTTTACAGACAAAGAACAATAATCCTCCTTATCTCTGACCAATAAAAATCTATATTTACAAAATATACATTCTAGAATGATAATTTTGAATTACTTCCTATTTTCCAAAGTGGGGGTACTAAAACAGATATTTGCTCAAAACTTTACCGAAATAGCAGGAGAACTAGGGAGAGCTATGGGTCTTGATTAAATGTGCTTATACTTCAGTAAGCCATGGTAGCACAGTGGTTCCAAATGTGCAGGTGGTAACCAAGAAGTTGGTAATTCAAACCCGTGCAGCAAATCTACATGCAGCAGGTTCAGGAGAGAAAGATCTGGTGATTTGTTCCAGTAAAGATTGTTGTTAAGTGCTGTTGAGTCGATTCTAACTCATAGTGAGCCTGTATAGGGTTTCCGAGGCTGTAAATCTTTATGGGAGCAGAAAGCCTCATCTTTCTCTCGAGGAACAACTGGTAGTTTTGAACTGCTGGCCTTGAGGTTAGCAGCCCAACTCGTAACCGCTTCGTTACCAGAGCTCCTTCCAGCCTAGGAAATCCTATGAGGTAGTCACAAGGGGTAGCTATGAGTTGGAATCTAACAACAAAACTTCAGTAAAGAAAAGAATCAAGGAACACTATTTGAAAATGCTTGAGACATACTGGTAGAACTTGTACCATCCTCATTTTTATAACACATCTAAGGTTCTTCTCAAGGAGCTCTGGTAGCATAGTGGTTACAAATCGGGCTGCTAATCTCAGGGTCAGCAGTTCGAAACTACCAGCTGTTACACAGAAGAAAGATGAGGCTTTCTGCTCCCATAAAGATTTACAGCCTCAGAAACACTGTACAGGGTCGCTATGAGTCAGAACCGACTCTACGGCACACACCAACAAACAACAAGGTTCTTCCCATTTTATAGAAAATTGGGGCACAAAGTAGCCAAGCTTGAACTTGAACTCAATTTATCTGCTGCAAGTGGAAAAGTTCTTTCTACTACATATAGGCTGCCTTTTGGGTCCCTACACTTAAAAAGATCTCCCCCAAAGAGCACAAACTGCCTTGTGACTATATACCATCCTCATCCCCAGCCCTCTCTTTGTCTCCACAATAGGCTTGGCTAGCGTAGTGGTTATGAATCGGGCTGCGAACCTTAAGGTCAGCGGTTCGAAACTTTCAGCTGCTCCGTGGGAGAAAGATGAGGCTTTCTACTCCCGTAAAGATTTACACCCTCGGAAACCCTGTACAGGGTCGCTATGGGTCGGAACCGACTCCATGGCACTTAACAACAACAACAACAGGATACAGAAGAGCAGAGGTAAGAACATGTCCTTGAGCATGGTCTGGTCCCGTTGCCTCCCACACTGAGATAATGGAGATCCAGAGCAATAGAAAGTAAAGACAGTGCCCCTCGGCAGGGAACACTGACCACCCCCATTGTGGTCCCCACTGTTCCCGCTGGCTCTGGGTCCAGAAACCTGTCTGAGCTTCATTCACCTCATTTGCCTATAAACTGAGGGTGATAAACACAGTGATAAACGTAGGATTGTTGTGAGGACTACGTTATAACAAAGTGTGGAGTTCTGGTGTGGTGCTGTGCAATAATGTACTGAACAGCAAGGTCTGTTGGAACTGCAAGGTGGGCGGTTCAAACTCACCAACCATTCCTCAGAAACCCTATACAGGGTCGCTATGAGTCAAAACCAACTTGACAGCACATAGCGACAGCAACAACAAAGGTACTAAATGTCATGTAGAAAGTGCTCAGTGAAGGTTAAACTCCCATCTTTACAAGGTCATGAATATAGCCGGCAATGCTTGACTCAACTTCCCAGATGTCTTCTGGTTTGCTGTCTTAATGCGTCCCCCTCAGTAATCACCTCTTGGGATTTTATATTTTAATAGCCAAGAGTCCCATTCTTCAAGCACCGAGAGGCACACGGACGCATCTGGTTAGGACTACTTCGACCACTGCTTGCTAGTATCACTCAGCGTGACCAAGGCTTTGGGACCCGCTCTGGCTTGAGGACAATGCTTCCACCTAGAGAGAATTCTAGGGTGGGTCCTTTGGGAGTGTGTACAAGGGGAGGTCAGGTACCTGGAGGGGGCAGTAGCGCACACAGGTGCGGAGCCCGGACTCGCCCAGGTTGGCAGAGGGCAGCTGCTGGACGCAGTGGGGGTCCTAGTCAGGCCCCAAAGGCCGACAGTCTTGCAGTGAGCGGCGTTCCAGCGCCCACAACCGTCTTCGGCCAGCCCTTCCCTTGAGCTCCATCAGCGCACCCGCGCAGGGAGGACAACGTAGGTTGCAGGTGTCTCTAGGACGCCTCCGTGGCGCACTCGCCAGCCCAGAGCTTCCTGGCTAGACCTCCTAGAGGCAGCCCCAAACCACCTTGCAGGTGTCACAGGAAGCGTTCAGCTAAGCGGCGGTGGCCACTGCGTGTGCTAGCGCGTAGTCTTCGTCCCCCGTTCGCTGTTCCCGGGTGCTCAGATCTTTCGGTGGTTGGCGGGCAGCGGCAGCCCGGGCGCGTGTGTGCGTGTGCGGGGAAAGCGGCCCTCCCCGCGGTCGCCGCAGCGCCAGCGCCGGCGCCTCCCCCTCCCCCGGCGCGCACGGCCCATCCCCGTCCCCGGAGGCGGCCCGAGCTGCCGCTGAGCAGCTTCGCCTTCGCCTCTCGCGTTTCCTGTCGCTCGTCCTCCCCCGGCCAGGCTCCGGGCGGGAGAGAGGCGCAGAGCGCACACGGGGGCGGGCAGAGGCGGCCCGGTACCGGGCGACCGCGCCGGAGAGAGGCGCACAGAGACGCTGCCCCCACCTTTCCGCGTTTGCTCGCTCGCTCCCCGCCTCCCGCACTCTGCTCGCTCCCACCCCTTCCCGGCGTGATTGATCCGTCACGGGCGCTGCCGTTGCCGCCGCCACCGCGGCCGTTCTAAGCCGAGCAAGAGCCCGAGCCGGAGCCCGGGCCGGGCCGGCGCCATTGCGCGGGCGCCGCGGGGAGAGCTTGGCGCGGGGCGGCGGGCCGGGCCAGGCCATGCGGGCCGAGTGAGCCGGCGCCCGCAGCCCGCGGCGCGGCATGGCTTCCCCGCGGAGCTCCGGGCAGCCCGGGCCGCCGCCGCCGCCGCCACCGCCGCCCGCACGCCTGCTGCTTCTCCTGCTGTTGCCGCTGCTGCTGCCTCTGGCGCCCGGGGCCTGGGGTTGGGCGCGGGGTGCCCCCCGGCCGCCGCCCAGCAGCCCGCCGCTCTCCATCATGGGCCTCATGCCGCTCACCAAGGAGGTGGCCAAGGGCAGCATCGGACGCGGCGTGCTCCCCGCGGTGGAATTGGCCATCGAGCAGATCCGCAACGAGTCGCTCCTGCGCCCCTACTTTCTAGATCTGCGGCTGTACGACACCGAGGTGAGTGTCTGACCGTTCGCGCCGTCGAGGATCAGGGGGCGACGAAATGGGAATGGAGACAGAGGCAGGCGCCCGGCCCTTGGCCAAAACCTGATTGCCTATGGCCTGACCCGCGCCAGAGGAGGACTCCACGGGCTGGCGCCCAGTGCTTATCCCACTGGGGTCCCGTTAGGCTTGCCTGGCACAGCTCATACCAAGATTTGCCCAGCATTCCCCTCCTCCAAAATTGTGTGTGGTTGTTGAACTGAGTCTCTTTAACTAGAGGAGTTGAAAAGGTGGAGGCTGGATCCCCAAAGGCCTGCAGTGGTTGCCCCTGCCCGAGTCCCGCTCGCTTGTGGGGTTATGGGGTAGCGGATAGGAAGAATAGCTGTACTGGCTGCAAACTGGTGCGCCCGGGGGCAAGAGGGGCCGCGAGCTTACCCGCGGGTGGCTAATCTGAAGAGCTCCAGGACCCCAGGGGTCCGAGAGCGCAGCAGGGCTGGGAGCGTGGTGCGCGCTAGCAGCTCTGAGCCTTCACAGCGCGGGCAGGTGTGGGGCCGTCGGCTCTGCAGCGCTGCTGCCTGGATGTGTCCAGCTGCCTACAGCCTGAGCAGTTTTATGAGGAGACTCATCTCCCTCTTGGGTTAGTTGCTGTAAGAGCGCCAGGAGCAGGTCTCGCCCGGGACCCACGAGGATGTCGCGCCGCGCCGCTGATGTTGGTCAGACGGCTGCGGGAGCGGTTTCTCCCGGCGCAGACTTGTGCAGCGCCCTTGTAGCCAGAGCACAGACTTGGAGCGCAGTACTGACTTCCTCTCCTGACCTCCTCTAAACCGAGCCCCAGAGCTGAGAGCTTCCCATCCCACAGTTTGAGTTCCGCCTAAACCCTAGCGCGGACCTTCACCTCCAGCTTGGGGAATGGGATGCGCTGAGGGGGCTGGGAGGAAAGGTCGCCAGTGGCTGGAGAGGTCGAGTTTTTCCGGACACAAGGAGCAACTACACTCCCAGCACAGGGTCTGAGACGCGGCCTGAAGGGGGCAGTGATTTCCTGTAGAGTCTTCTGGGTTGGCGCCTCTTCCATCGCGCCAAGCCGGGCCAAGACGCTGGGCTAGATCTCGGCTTCCCAGGGCTTCCTGAGCACTAATGCTTAAGCTTAAGTGCAGACCCCTTGGGGTAAGAGGGTCGCGCTGTCACGTTGATCGTGCTGCTGCCCTTCTCGTTTTATGTTCCCAGAGAAAGAGCAGAAATCTAGATTGCATCTTATTCTGCACCCCCACCCGCGACCCCCCATGAGCCAGCCTGCTCTACGCTGTAAATAAAAGGTGAAGGAACAACGGGTGGCAGTGTGTGCCGCCTGCTGCAGGCAGAGAGGCGTCTTCAGCTCTGGGAGGATGCAGGTTGGGTGGCTGTGCAGCCTAACCCGGGTGTGGAATCATTTCTAAATAACATGCTTACTGTCCTCGGCTCTGCCGAACATTTCAAGTTCTCTGGTATACTTGTCCTGCACACGTAAATGGAACCAGCAAGGCAAATACATGGAAGCACATCTTCATGATACTCTTTCTCTCTTGCTTCCACACGTATTCTTATGGAAGGGACACTGGAGAGCAAGTTCTTTGGAGATAAATAATGTGTAGGCAGGGCAGCCCTGCTTGTATCATCACCACCTTGTATTGTCAACTGCATAATTTTCACCATCAGTATATTCCACGTTAGAAAGCCTCCCTGAAAGAGATTTCATATTAACCTCTTTGTGGCAGCAAGGAAATGGATGATTGGTTTCAGGGTGTGGGTTGAAGCTTTTACATTTTATTGTTCAAGTGTGTCTTGATGACTTTGTGAGCGAGAGGGCCCCAAATCAAGAGGATAAGACAGTCAGAAGGCTGTTCAATATGTTGAAATATTTAAGAACCAGTAGAGGAAGAGCAGCGGATAAGCTCAGCTTCATGCAAACAGAAAAAGGTCTCTAGTCTCTTGGAGGCCGGGAAGGTGCACAGAGCTTGAGCTTTGAAAGAGATATCTGAGTTCTAGTCAGAAACTGACTACTTTCCCACTGGGTGACCTTGAACTAGGTATTTAATCTCTCTAAGCCTAGATTTCCACAGCTGAAAAACTGGGACTATATTAAATGTGTCCTGTCAAGTAGCAATGGGAAGCTTAAAGGAGATAAGGGCCGAGTGGAGGAGGACTTGTGCTGCCAAACTCAGCAGCTGGTGCTCTGTCTGGCATACAATAAACACTAAATAAATGTATCCTGCCTCCCTTCCATCATTTTATTCTGGAATAGACTCGCAGGTCAGACATTGTGACTTTAGACTTTGTGGTCAGAGCAAACATATGAAGAGGACTTATATGTTTATCTGGGTTTTGAAATCTCGTGAAGAGTCAGTAAATTTAGCAGAAAAACCCAAGGAATTCTTTCATAATCAAGCATTTTGTCTTCTGCCAAGAAGTGTCACATTTGGGAGAATGCCCAGGTGATACAATTATTTATTTTTTTTCTGTTGGCCTTGCCTCTACAGTAGACACACTTTTTCTCTGAGTTGGAGGGAAAGAAGGATCAGTCTGGATAATCCACAGGAATCTCAGAGCGTTGGCGGCCTGTTTTGTTTCAGATCAGCTGACTTTCGTGGGTTGTATGTATTCCCTAGTAACTTGTGGGTCTTGTCCCTTGAGCTTGTTGTCTGTACACTTTAATGTAGGATGGATGTGGTGAGCAGATGTTGGCTGGCTTTGCTGAAATTTGCTGCCAGTCAATGACCAGTAGCTGTGGGCAGTCAGAATGGATGTTTGTCTATCCATACAGCCTGCAAGGAGTTGGAGATGTAGACAAAAATGGGTTGATGTTTTCACTGGGGCCAGCCTGCCTCAATAAGGGAGCTTCCTCCATGCGTGTATTTAATCAGGACTGGCTATCTACAGTAATTAGAACAGTTCTAGAACTTTCAAAGCTCTGCTTAGTGCCATGTGTTTATAAGAATGAAAACATTGCAGCAGAACACCTGCCACTGAGAACCTCTGCTTCTCCAGTGCACCTCTAATTCACTTCAGCAAAAACTTGTGTGTGTAGCAGCTGAGTATATAAAAACACCAACAAAACAATGGAAAATATAAATAAAAGGAAGCATCAGAAATCATACAGAAGAAACATGGGAGTTAATGGACCAAAACCCTGAACTAAGATGGCTATGCATTTTGAGCTTTAAATTTAGCTCTGAGCTTGCTGGCAGTCAAGGTAAAAAGGTTAAACATAGTGGATTACATTGCTTACGTTAAAAGAAAAAAAATAGCTAAGACTTCTGGTGTGGCATTGTAGGATTAGCACTGGACTTTGAACCACAAGGTCAGTGGTTCAAACCCACCAGCCGGTCCTCAGAAATTATATACAGGGTTGCTATGAGTTGGAACTGACTTCAATGGCACTTAACAACAACAACAAGGGACAGTTTGTAAATAGTTTTGCAGGAGATGCAGAAATTTTAATTGTATGGTTGTTTCTTATTCTTTGGTAGCCAAATTCATAGAATGAAATAATAGCCAAGCAAATAAGGTGTCTTTTTAAACTTGATCCAAATACTGTTCATTGTAGCGAAGTTGAAAGTTATAGAGAAGCATGAAGAAAAAGAATAATTGCTCATAATCCAAAAAATAATACTTTAGAATAATCAACCATTTGAGATCAAAGGGGCAACATCTGCCTAAGGGTAAAGTTCAGAAGGGTTAGTAGGAAAGCAGGAGGAATGGGAATGGGAAACACAGGGAGGAAGCGGGATAAGTGATATTCCATTGTGGGGAATGCAATCAGTGAGAATGTGTATGAATTGCTGAATGGGAAACTGATCTGCTCTGTAAAATGTCACCAATTCACAATAAAAAGTTCAAAAAAAAAAAAAATCATCCATAACCATCTGTTCAGAATAATTGCAATAACAATAGGAAATATTCCCTCTTAGTTGCCAATGTTTTATTATTAGTTGTATTGACATCTTACTATATGTGCTTTTATATATATTTATTCAGTTAACTTTATGTAATAAATATTTTCTTATATCCTCAAATATTCTTTGCAAAAGGTGATTTTTAGAGGCTACATACTATTCTATCCTGTGGGTATACCGTAAGTATTCAGTTGTTCTTTTACTGTTGGCCTTACATGTGTTCCCACTTGTTACTAAGGTTAATCATTCTGGGATAAACTTAGGGTAAGTTCAGGGAGTCAAAGGAACACAGAACAGCTCTGAGCTGTCCACCCAGAGCAGTGGCTGGCCAGCGTGTCTCCTTCTTGTGTAACTTTGCCACATATATGTCCCCTCCTTTGTTGTGCTTCAGAAAGGACCCAGACCCAAACAACTGGTGGATTGAAGACTCACTTCCCAAGATCTGATTCAGCAGGTGTTTATTGAGCACCTACTGAGGCTGGTAATGCTACAAACAGAGAGCAAAATGCAGCTCTCGACTTGAGAGGGTCAGTGGTAACAGGGCAGGATAGAACAAGAGAAGAACATTGGTGATTTTTATGTTCTTTTCATTTTATTTTGTTGTTGCCATTGAGAATATATCCAACAAAACGTAATCTATCAGCCAATTCAACCGTTTCTACATGTACAATTTAGTGACGTTGATTATATTCTTCAAGTTGTACAGCCCTTCTCAGCCTCCTTTTCTGAGTTGTCCCTCGCCCACTGACATAGGCTCACGACACCCTATTAAATCTTTTGAGTTGCTGTTGTCAGTTTGATCCCAGATTGTTGTTGTTGTTGTTACTAAGTGTTGTTGATTTGGTTCTTTATGCACAACAACTCTGCCTAGTCTTGCGACATCCTCACAATTTTTGTTATGTTTGAGCCCATTGCTGTTGCCACTGTGCTAATCCATCACGTTGGGGGTCTTCCTCTTTGTCGCTGATCCTGCACTTTGCCAAACATATGTCCTTCTCCAGGGACTGGTCTCTCCTGATGACTCGTGGTGGTGGTGGTTATGTGCTGTCGAGTTGGTTCTCACTCATTGTGACATATTGTTGTTCT